ATGAATGAAAATAACAAGGTAAGTGACGTCAGCAATGCTGACGTCGTTTTTAATGACAATATTTCTGTTCGTCCTTTGTCATCAGAAGTGGGATGCCCTCCCACTTCTGCCGGACATTCTGATAATACTGGTTATGCTGCGGAGCACGTAAGTACTGAGCCTAACACCACTAACATTACGACGGAATTTTTTGTGCAAATGATGCAGACCATGCAGCAGATGTCGGAAAAATTGATGTCGCAACAATATAATAAGGTAAAAATCAACGATATATTTTTACCCTCCTATGATCCTGACGGCTCCGTGGGTATACGAGAATGGTGTCAACATATATCAAAAGCAATTGACAAATATAAGCTTGATGATTATGACATCCGAATGAAGGTAGGTAGTTTATTAAAGGGTAGAGCTAAGTTATGGGTAGATAATTGGCTTATTTCAACGAATTCTTGGGATGAATTACGTGAAAACCTGATTTCAACATTTGAGCCTGAAAACAGGTATTCGCGAGACATAGTAAAATTTCGTGAACATTCTTACGATCATAATAAGGATATATCTGAATTTCTATCACAAGCCTGGGTTTTATGGAGACGTATAACGAAAGATAAACTAGGTAATGATGACGCGGTTGAGGCGGTGATAGGATGTATTAAAGATGAACATTTGAGAATTGAATTATTGAACGTACGCGCTGAATCTGTCCCGGAGCTTATCTCAGTGGCATCATCGATTCGATCTTCGAAGAAACGTCCCCCTACTGAACCAGGTACTCAAAATTACGGTAAGCGAATTCGATTGAATGATTCTCAAATGTCACTCTTTTGTAAGATTTGTAAAAAAAATAATCACATTACACGAGATTGTCGCTTTAAATCTTTTGAGAATAACTCAAGCGGGTCGCAAGACAAAACCTTAAATCAAAGCAAAGGAACGACAATTTCTAATCCACACCATAATAAAACTTGTTCATTTTGTATGAAGGTAGGTCATACTTACGAAAATTGTTTTAAGCGTGAACAGAAAGTTATGTCAAACGTTAATTGCGTAGGTAGTTCGAAAACTACACCCATGCGCTTAAATATCGGTGACTTTTCAATACGTGCAATTTTTGATAGTGGCGCTGAGTGTTCTGTTATGTGTGAAACAATAGCTGCTAAATTACCAGGTAAAAGAATTCATGGTGTGAAATACTTACGCGGTATCGGACATTTTCCAGTAATATCGTTAATGACATTAAAGACTATTTGTGAAATAGATGAAATCAATATCGAAATATCTTTTTGTATAGTCCCTGACTATGAATTAAATACCAACGTTTTAGTGGGTATGGATTTAATAAATAATACAACGTTGAGCGTATTAGTAACATCGAATGGTACTAAATTATTACGACAACCCACCGTAATGCATGTAAAAGCTAATAATTTTTTATTTGACAAAATTAATTGTGACCTCACAGATAATAATCAGATTGATTTATTGCGAATTTTACTAAACAAATACGTTCATTTATTTATCCAGGGTTTTCCTACAACCAGAGTTAATACTGGACATCTAGAAATTCGGTTAAAGAATCCAGATAAATACGTTGAACGTAGACCTTACCGTTTAAGCCTTATAGAACGCGAAAAAGTCAATAAAATAATAAAGGAATTGCTTGAACATAACATTATTCGTGAAAGTAGGTCACCGTACTCTAGCCCTATTATATTAGTAAAAAAGAAAAACGGAGATGATAGGTTGTGTGTCGACTATCGCGAATTAAATTCGAATACACTCAGGGACCATTATCCCTTGCCATTGATCTCCGATCAAATCGATCAATTGGTGAACGGTTATTATTATAGTTTATTTGATATGGCAGCAGGGTTTCATCAAATTCCTATAGCTGAAAGTTCAATCGAGAAAACTGCATTCGTTACTCCAGATGGATTGTACGAATATTTAACCATGCCGTTCGGCTTGAGCAACGCCTGTTCCGTATACCAAAGATGCATAAATAGAGCACTACAACCATTGCTTGGTGATGCAGGAGTTGCTCAAGTCTACGTGGATGATGTTCTTAGTAAATGTGTTAATTTTGATCAAGGATTATCTCACATTGAACGGATTTTGGTAGCTTTGCAGAATGCAGGTTTTTCAATAAATGTTGAAAAGTCTTCATTTTTTAAACGTTCAATAGAATATTTAGGCAATATAATTTCTGATGGACAGATTCGCCCTAGTCCTTCAAAGGTAGATGCACTTGTAAAATCACCCATTCCTAATAACGTAAAACAAGTCCGCCAATTCAATGGCCTAGCTGGATATTTTCGCCGCTTTATTCCCAACTTTTCACGTATTATGTTACCTTTATATGAATTAAACCAAAAAGGGGGCATGTTGGGAATGGAATGAGCGACATGACCAAGCACGTAATACTATTATTGAATATCTTACCTCAGCACCTGTTTTAACTATATTCCAGGAAAACTCACCAACTGAACTTTATACCGATGCTAGTAGCCTTGGCTACGGCGCTATTCTGGTTCAAGTGATTGATGGACGTCGTCACGCCGTGGCCTATATGAGTATGCGAACTACAGAGGTTGAGAGCCGCTATCACTCATACGAGCTGGAAACGCTTGCCGTGGTGAGAGCTATAAAACATTTTAAACAATACCTATATGGTCGTCATTTTAAAGTAATCACGGACTGCAACGCCTTAAAAGCGTCTAAGCATAAAAAAGAGCTGCTGCCTAGAGTATATCGTTGGTGGGCATTCCTTCAAAATTATGATTTTGAAGTTGAGTACCGGAAAGGTGAGCATTTACAGCATGCTGATTTTTTTAGCCGAAACCCAGGTACGTTGCAAGTTAATATTATGAATAAAGATTTTGAATGGCTGAAAGTGGAACAACGCAGGGATCCTACATTGCGACCAATGATTGATGCAATCTTACGTAACGAACTAATAGACGGCTATAAGTTAGAAAACGACGTATTAATCAAGGTGGGTACAGATGTAGATGACCAAAAAGCGGTAGTTGTACCAAAATCATTCCAATGGAGCTTAATAAACACATATCACACTGCGTTAAAACATCCAGGCTGGGAAAAAACCTTACAAAAGTTAAAAGAATCTTATTGGTTTAAAAGCATGTCCAGTATTATAAGAACCTTTGTTGAAAATTGCGTGGTGTGTAAAACTTCAAAAGGTCACTCTGGTGCTATACAAGTTCAATTACATCCCATTCAGAAGCCTACAGCAGCATTCCAGACAATACATATGGATACTACGGGTAAACTGGGTACAACAACTAACCATGACTACGTGATTATCACAATTGATGCATTCAGTAAGTATGTATTGTTCTATTATGCCACTAGCAAGAGCCCACATAGTACTTTAGCTGCGCTGAAACGTACAGTACATCTATTTGGAACACCTAACCAAGTAATAGTTGATGGTGGTCGCGAGTTCTTGGGAGATTTTAAAGTGTATTGTGACAATGTCGGCATTAATATTCACACGATATCGCCAGGAACTAGCCGAGCGAATGGCCAGGTGGAACGAATGGTTGGTACACTTAAAAATGGTCTTATTATGATAAACAACTATGAAACTGAAGAATGGCCAGTAGTATTAGATAGCTTACAATTAGCATTCAATTGCACACCGCAAAGTACGACTGGGGTTGCACCACTTACACTGCTAACTCGTCGCAAAAATTGCGTACCCCCGAGCTTTTTCGTTTGGTTAACTTTGAAAATCAAACTATTGATATGGAACAACTATACCAGCATGTACAACAAAGAATGCTTAATGCAGCAGAAAAGGAGAAAATAAGGTTTAATAAAAATAAAGCTAAAATACGTCCCTTCCAAAAAGGCGATTATGTTTTAATAAAAAATAATCCTCGTAATCAAACTTGTTTAGACTTGAAATATAGTGAACCGTATGAAGTATGCAGAATCCTAGATAACGACCGCTACATGGTAAAAAAGGTAATAGGCAAAGGTCGACCGCGCAAGGTTGCTCACGATCAAATGCGCCTAGCACCACAACCTGGACAACAGGCGGCCGTATCGGCGGGGACGGAAGTAGTCACTAGTCAATCATCAAGAGACAATAGCCTGTTGGACCCGCAACCTTCGACGTCTTCTCAGATAGATGCCTAAGAAATTATCATGCCTGGAACCTCTAAAGGTCTGTACTTTCTATTATCTTTATACAATTTCGCTGTTTAAATAACTAATTCTAACACTAGGCACCGTAGTTGCAATATTCACGTTAACACGTGTACATCTACACATAATTTTAATATAAGTATAGAGTATTTCAGAGCCTCTGTGTACCACGGTATAAGATAAATACCTAGAGCACAGCATCGACCTTATTACCCAATTCCTTTAGAGCCTCTGTGTACCACGGCGAACAGGACCGCCCAGAGCATAGCTACAACTCCTTATAAAATTATTGACTTAGTGAGAAGGTCAATAAATAACAACACAACTTTATTAATAAAAAAAAAAAAAAAAAAAAAAAAAAAAAAGTGCCTTAACAATAAATAAAAAAAAAAAATGCTTCCTTTACATATCTTTCAGGTACCTGGATACAGATACCTATTTAAAATCAAAACTTTCATTGTTACAGATAAAAGGCTAGTGCAGGGCGCGCACTGCCTATCAGTATGGCCGTATCGGCGTGACGCCGTTAATTAATCATAATTAGAATAAATTCATAATTTAAAATTATAATAAATAATAAAAAAAAATCAATTTCTAAAGTAACTTTTCATATTTAAATAAGTTGTAACGTTTTCAATTGTTGTTAAATAACTATTGTTTTTGATTTCCTGTTATTTTATGGTAAATTAAATTATCAATAATATTTATCGGCGTGACGCCGTTAATTAATCTTATTTAGAATAAATTCATAATTTAAAATTATAATAAATTCAATTTCTAAAGTAACTTTTCATATTTAAATAAGTTGTACGTTTTCAATTGTTGTTAAATAACTATTGTTTTTGATTTCCTGTTATTTTATGGTAAATTAAATTATCAATAATATTATAAGCTCATAAATGTTAAAATTAAAATAATAAATTATTAAGTTCGTATTTCCTCTTATTTTATGGTATATTAATTTATCAATAGTTTTACAATTGTAAAGTTTGAACATAGTACTTCCGAAAAAAAAGAGGGCGCTATGTTTAAGCTAATATGGCGGGAAAGCGGCCGACCAAGAGGAGGGTGGACGATGGGTCGCACTTCACTTTTGCTCGGGCGTTTACCTGATATAGAGGACTGGCTGTTTTTACTTAAGCTAGCAGATAAGTATTTAGGATAGGTTTAAATAATTATAGTGTTAATTTGTGTATTGTTAATTGGATTGTTAGTTTAAAGTGATTAGTAAAAATTATAATAGTAAGTAAAACGACTTATCATTTTGATCTCTAGTTGATTTTAATTATCTTTAAATTTATTTAAATTAAAAATGAATGAAAATAACAAGGTAAGTGACGTCAGCAATGCTGACGTCGTTTTTAATGACAATATTTCTGTTCGTCCTTTGTCATATATATTGTTTTTTTTTGGTTTGGGTTAGGTTTGGCGAAAAATATTCCAATGAGTTATTAGATATTATTACTTCATGTATATCAATTTACACAACGACGATCGATTATATATATGTTGATTTTTTTTGGTTTGGGTTAGGTTTGGCGAAAAATATTCCAATGAATTATTAGATATTATTACCTTAATGTTAATGTTATTACCTTAATTATTAGATATTATTACCTTAATGCCTTATTGATCTGAAGTAAATTATTATTATTATTATTATAATCGATCGTCGTTGTGTAAATTGATATACATGAAGTAATAATATCTAATAACTCATTGGAATATTTTTCGCCAAACCTAACCCAAACCAAAAGAAAAAACAATATATATATAATCGATCGTCGTTGTGTAAATTGATATACATGAAGTAATAATATCTAATAACTCATTGGAATATTTTTCGCCAAACCTAACTCAAACCAAAAAAAACAATATATATAATCGATCGTCGTTGTGTAAATTGATATACATGAAGTAATAATATCTAATAACTCATTGGAATATTTTTTGCCAAATCTAACCCAAACCAAAAAAAAACAATATATATATAATCGATCGTCGTTGTGTAAATTGATATACATGAAGTAATAATATCTAATAACTCATTGGAATATTTTTCGCCAAACCTAACCCAAACAAAAAAAAAGCAATATATATATAATCGATCGTCGTTGTGTAAATTGATATACATGAAGTAATAATATCTAATAACTCATTGGAATATTTTTCGCCAAACCTAACCCAAACCAAAAAAAAAAAAACAATATATATATAATCGATCGTCGTTGTGTAAATTGATATACATGAAGTAATAATATCTAATAACTCATTGGAATGTTTTTCGCCAAACCTAACCCAAACCGAAAAAAAACAATATAAATTGATATACATGAAGTAATAATATCTAATAACTCATTTGAATATTTTTCGCCAAACATAACCCAAACCAAAAAAAAAAAAAACAATATATATATAATCGATCGTCGTTGTGTAAATTGATATACATGAAGTAATAATATCTAATAACTCATTGGAATATTTTTCGCCAAACCTAACCCAAACCAAAAAAAAAAACAATATATATAATCGATCGTCGTTGTGTAAATTGATATACATGAAGTAATATTATCTAATAACTCATTGGAGTATTTTCGCCAAACCTAACCCAAACCAAAAAAAAAACAATATATATATAATCGATCGTCGTTGTGTAAATTGATATACATGAAGTAATAATATCTAATAACTCATTGGAATATTTTTCGCCAAACCTAACCCAAACCAAAAAAAAACAATATATATATAGGAAGTGGGTCAGACATGATTAATAAAAGATAGGTAGGTATAACAATATAGATCTTATATTTTCAACAGATTAATTACATAGATTCAATCTTATCAACTATAAATTGTACTGAGACTATTTGTAGTTGAGAATAATAATTAATTTAATTACAAATTAATTATCCAGAGTCAAGGATAAGCTAGCTAGTACAACAAGTGCACCGAGTCACGCCAGAGCCAAGACTGCCTTAGCGGTGGTCGCTCCGACTCTTTTATACACGTAGTGTTGCGTAGTGGGGGAGAATTAAATGACGCGCTCGGTGGCGTGAGCGGTGCACCCGTTGTTTACAAAATTCTAGAGGGTACGTGCGACGGCGCAGGCGCCGTCATATATATAATCGATCGTCGTTGTGTAAATTGATATACATGAAGTAATAATATCTAATAACTCATTGGAATATTTTTCGCCAAATCTAACCCAAACCAAAAAAAAAACAATATATATAATCGATCGTCGTTGTGTAAATTGATATACATGAAGTAATAATATCTAATAACTCATTGGAATATTTTTCGCCAAACCAAACCCAAACAAAAAAAAAGCAATATATATATAATCGATCGTCGTTGTGTAAATTGATATACATGAAGTAATAATATCTAATAACTCATTGGAATATTTTTCGCCAAACCTAACCCAAACCAAAAAAAAAAAACAATATATATATAATCGATCGTCGTTGTGTAAATTGATATACATTAAGTAATAATATCTAATAACTCATTGGAATGTTTTTCGCCAAACCTAACCCAAACCGAAAAAAAACAATATAAATTGATATACATGAAGTAATTATATCTAATAACTCATTTGAATATTTTTCGCCAAACATAACCCAAACCAAAAAAAAAAACAATATATATATAATCGATCGTCGTTGTGTAAATTGATATACATGAAGTAATAATATCTAATAACTCATTGGAATATTTTTCGCCAAACCTAACCCAAACCAAAAAAAAAAACAATATATATAATCGATCGTCGTTGTGTAAATTGATATACATGAAGTAATAATATCTAATAACTCATTGGAGTATTTTCGCCAAACCTAACCCAAACCAAAAAAAAAACAATATATATATATAATCGATCGTCGTTGTGTAAATTGATATACATGAAGTAATAATATCTAATAACTCATTGGAATATTTTTCGCCAAACCTAACCCAAACCAAAAAAAAACAATATATATATAGGAAGTGGGTCAGACATGATTAATAAAAGATAGGTAGGTATAACAATATAGATCTTATATTTTCAACAGATTAATTACATAGATTCAATCTTATCAACTATAAATTGTACTGAGACTATTTGTAGTTGAGAATAATAATTAATTTAATTACAAATTAATTATCCAGAGTCAAGGATAAGCTAGCTAGTACAACAAGTGCACCGAGTCACGCCAGAGCCAAGACTGCCTTAGCGGTGGTCGCTCCGACTCTTTTATACACGTAGTGTTGCGTAGTGGGGGAGAATTAAATGACGCGCTCGGTGGCGTGAGCGGTGCACCCGTTGTTTACAAAATTCTAGAGGGTACGTGCGACGGCGCAGGCGCCGTCACGGCCATACTGACGTGCGTGCGTCCTCGCACGTTCCTTAACACAATCTTAGGTATCTGTAGACAAAAATAACATCGTTCGATTATCCTGACAAAACAGTGTCTGGCCCGGTCGATATTGACCCTTCAGATTGGTGGCAATCAGTTTTGGACCGGCACTAAGCCCTACAAAACTTTACTTATCTTTTGCTAGTCCGGAATTATTATTCCCTGTAGCCTGCTAGTCCGGAATCATTATTCCCTGTAGCCTTTGTCATATTGTGCTAGTCCGGAATCAATATTCCCTGTAGCTTTAACGCTAGACCGGAATGATTATTCCCTGTAGCTATATCATTGGACCGGCACACAGCCCTGCAATGAGCCAAGTTTTTTTTTTTTTTAATTGTCATTAGTTCTATGAACATCAGCTTGTATTACTATATTTAATGGATCAGAGTGTACAGACATGGTATCAGAGTTGTCCGACAGAGTATCAGAATGTGCAGTCAGGGTATGTTCTGTACTGATAGTACCTGAACTATTCTCGGATATGTTATTAATTTCAATATTATTAGGTTGATCATCGATTTCGATGTTATCTGATTGGTTATCGATTTAATGAACAGTGTTATCTGATTGATTCACCGTCACGTCATC